AGGAAAGACAAGCTATGGAGTACTGGGGACCCATCCTATATTTTACACCAAGGAAAGACTAGCTATGGAGTACTGGGGACCCATCCTATATTTTACACCAAGGAAAGACAAGCTATGGAGTACTGGGGACCCATTCTATATTTTACCCATGGAGAAACAGGCAAAGTGTTTGAGTGAGTTGCGTATAACATTGCTTTCAACAGCATATCAATTAGATTACAACTTTTCAGCTACGAGAAATAATTAACTACTTTGTTAAAGCACATGTGGACAGGTTGGTACTGACACACCTAGAATCATGATCGGGGAGATTCTACTGTTAGAACCACGGACCAGTTAGGAAGTTTTCAAAACAAAGGGACACAACTCTGTAGAGCAAGTATACCATCCTGCCCAGTATACACTGTTACCACACCTGTCATACAGAGCTAGCACACCTGGTCAGATTAGCAGCACCCTGGTCTGTCAATGGACTAGCCCATCACCCCTGGGGATGGAATAAACCGTCTGTCTGAGCGTGCTACATTCACAGAAAATAAGGAATGGAAATGGGTTGGTCTAACAGATTTACAATGAGGAATCAACAGAAAAATGACAAAATTATATCTAAACAAACACATGCCGCTAACAGGACAGTGCAGAGGAAACAGTGTGATCCATCTAAGGACAGGTACAGCTGCTGACACTGAGACAGCATCCAGCTCATACATCATCTCAATAACAAGCAAAACTCCACACACAAATAATATCCTATAATATACAACTAAATGAGCAATTGGAGGCTAATTAAATTCATTTTATCGATTTTACTCTAAAAACTGAATCGTTAAAAACTACACTACTTCCCTAAAGTCGACATGTGAAGATCCCTCTTACAAGGAGCTTACTGTCCATATCAGGTTATCAAATAGAACAAATGAAAACAAAATAAACAACAAAATATACAACCATGTATCTCAGTACAATGTCCTGTGGATTGGAAGCTCACTACAGCACGTCCTATCATTATTCTATTCCACTGTTCAAAGCTGATGTAGTTTGCACAAAAACAAATTCAAGAAATCAGATTTGCAATCGGAATATTGTTGTTTCTATCACCAATGTTTTTTGCATATTATGATCAAAATAATTTGTTTACACACTCAATTAAAGAAATTTACATTCACAACTGGTAAGTATGTTTCATCTAAACATAAACACAGCCATGCTAAAAATTTGATGATCCAAATATTGTTGGTCAGTAGGAAACGGCAAGTAGGTAGAAGAGTTTGGTCCTTTAAGAGACCAAATACTTACTGCCCTCTGCCCTCTGCCCTCTGCCTATTGCCTCTACTAACTCCAATTAGAAAAACTAACACAAATGAGCCATATTTCCATATTTATTCTTCCTCTTTCCTCTAAAAGAGTCAAGAAAGAAATGAAAGAAAAAAAAAGAATATATTTACAAAACAAACCAATCAATGTGTATTGATAACAATTTGTGAAAGACCCCTTATTTCATAGTTTTAAAAAGTAGTAACTTCATATTTTATATTAAACAGTATTTCATTTAAACTTTTTTGATAAAATTTAAACTTTTACAGTAGTATATTTGAGTTGTTTTAAGTCAGTACGACCATCAAGCACTCAATGTAAGCCACACTGCTGGGTCTCGTTCTCATTATGATTGTTGGAATAAGTCCATATATAGTCCTTGCTGTATTTACACTGCCTGCTTCACATCTATTTTTAGCTGATAGCCCAGTTGGGATTTCCCTTTCATTAATGCCCAATATGTGAAGGGACATATCTGTATTATTCATCAGATATATTTGATATTGCACCTTTCAGCCAATTTATTGGTAACAAATTAGCATATTCAGATAAATGTTGAATAAGAAGAAAATTAATATATAATTATATAAATTTATTTAAAGCTGTGGAATCTTTCGATTTCAAAGCGTTTTGCAAACCAATCATTCCTGGTACCATGATTCAGATAAACGTATCAGGGACTAATCGTTATACATTTTAGGAATGGCATACGTAGATACTTTCTTGCCATTACAATTATCTTTAACAATAAATAGAATTATTTGTGACACAATACAACATGGGATATAGTATATACACTTGAATAAAGCTTTGATTTAATTTGATCACATAATTGTTCACATAACAACTGTAAAACTATTTATAATGAAGTCAAACGACCTTGTACCGTAAATTCCCAACATAGAGAATAGTGGTCACTCTTCTTGACTCAAGGCAGCCTTTCAAAGCCGTTTTCTACTTTTGTCAAGTTTAATATCTGTTAAAAAATATATAATTTTATTTTTCGAAACAAATATTATTTGATTATGTGTTCTATCACCTGATCTGCGTCAAGCCATTGTCATCATCTGGGCTTCTCCTGCTCTGTTTATTTCAACTCAACCTAAGCACACGTTTTTATTCTATATTTACAATTAACAGTGAAGGTGCTATCCGTTAGATTCATGTTTTTCTATTGTTGTGAACCAATACATGTAATCTCGGTCAGTTGAATGAAGTTAATTTGCAATCAGAATGAAATCACACTGAAACAATATTACTTCCCGACCGATTTCAACAGACTCACATCAAGTGGTTTTACAGGATGACATCCCACAGAGCAATGTAACCATGGATACCGATCCTCATTCCACGATGCGACCATAGCACTAAGACGATCGTAACTCCCTTACCTTAACTTTGACATAGCGCTAAGATTGCTTTGTGGACTAGGGTCCAGGCCCACAAGCACAAAGGTATCGTAGCGCTAAGACTCATTCAATATTAATAGAGGAGGTATGATGGTCTGAGATCTAAGATCACTTTGTGCAAGTGGGCCCTTTTCAGTTTCAACCAGAATATTTTATTGCCCTGATTTGGCCATCCCAGTCTGCCAACCATTGGTCTGTGTTAAAGGATAGCAGTTATAACAGCCTAGCACTACAATCACTATAAGAAAGAGGTCAGCTATTCCTAGCATGAGTCATAGCACTCTCATTATGACATTCTGACAAGCCTACTAATGCCCGAGAAATTAGGTAAGTGATTTCCTACAATCATGTATATAAATATCCACAAAAACACAAGTAAATATTTGGACAGACAGATATTGCCTGGAGAATATGTCCTTCCACACTTGTCTAGAGGTCAAGGACACACAGACGGTTGCAGGGTGAAGGTCATTTTGGGTATCATGGGAAATAACTCTACAGATACACTGATGATTCAAATGGGAATATTTGGAATGTTTTTATATTGTAACAGTTTGTGACATTGTAATATACGATTCATAAATACTGATTGAAAAATACGGCTCACTCACAGACTCCTAACAGCACCATTGCCATGAATAGGTGAAAACTTGAAATACGGGAGTTTTCAGAACTACAACTAAAACAATTTAGCCCACAAATACGATGTTTTTTATGCCTAATTCAAAGTTCAGTCATTAAAATCAGTTTTCAAAGTTCATAAATGTGTTCATGAAAATAACACAATCTCATTTCTCCAGGTCAACTCTTCTCGTCATCCAGGAACGTGACCGGAGAATTAACAACATCTATTTTTGTGACATGTTTGTGTTATGAACTCTTTTGATATAAACAATGTTGCACCACAGTTAAGATAATAATATACATATATACACACATCACGTGTACTACCCTGAAACTACTGTGACAGTAACCATGGCAACACTGCAAGGACAACTGTTGGCTCTCCAGGGAGCAGGTAGGCTACAAAGAATTTTGCCCCAATTAACACCATCGAAAATATATATCGTGATAGCCGCGGTTACCATTGCTATCACGTGTTCTTCATTTAACACCAGTTTGTTTTCATTTCACTACACGGTACAGGTTTTAGAAAACAAGATGGTGGGTCCTTCGAAAACAATGGTTTTGGTTTTCGATCAGGACTCATTTAAATATCACTTTTGATGAAATAAAGTGTATGTGTTCGGAAGTGACGAGGGAAGAGATATAGATGGTATATAGATGTTATAAATATTTTATTATTTACAGCCAATCCGAGATTTAAAAGTATCATTGTTATGCGATGTAAAAAGAATCAACGAGTTCAGTTCTCTTAGATAATATTATAAGAGATAACTGTGTTTATTCGTTTTTCAAGGTTTGTTTTTTGAAAATGTTTTAGAAGCAGAACCAACCACATGGATTTCTTCAGTGAGTGAGTATTGTTTCATGGTTTACTGCTTTTAGAAATATTTCAGCGTTTTCAAGGCATCAGAGTGAGTGAGTGAGTTGGGTTTAACGCTGCTTTGAACAGTATTCCAGTTATATTGCGGCATGTCAGCTTGATGTGGGAGGAAAGCCCGAACTGATGCAGGTGTCAGACGTTTAGCACCTAGGTGAAACCCACAAGCGTGGGTACGGTGCTAACAAACCTGGAAACATAATTGGGGCGAACCAGGATTCGAACCCAGAATCATAGGTTTCTGGTGTGTCAAAGGGACGCAACTCTGCACAGAGAATCGCTGCACCTTGGACGAATGGGCCACCCATGCCCCCTCACGGCATCAGAATCAGGCTCCACATATTGCACATATTGACACGTAATGATGGAGCCACAAAGTGTTCAAACCTGTCAATAGGCCCAGGGCTTAGTTCCAGGGACCTGTTCCACAAAGTGATTGTAGCGCTAAGGTTATTGTACGTCCCATACTTTAACATAGGCTTACGACTGTCATAGTGCTACAATCACTTTGTGGAACGGGGCCCAATCGATCAGTCTGAGAGAAAACGAGTTGTCCCATCACAACCCCAAGGTCTTATAGACCCAAACCTGTCATCCTTGCAGTGTTGTAACTATGGTTATTATTGTGGGTCTATTGTGACATTTGGTTGCTATGGCTACAAGTCTGTACAGAGCTGTACAGTAAATGTGTAAAACAGTAAATCAACAAGTGGGTACACAATGAGCAATGAAGAATGTGCACCACACGGTGTACAGAGCCTGTACACTGTACCACAAACTGTACACCTGAATAACCTCAACAACATATGCACCATCATCCACAACGGAAACTTCATTTACTCCAACCAATGAAATTACCGAGATCTCATATAAAAAAATACTTAACAAGGCCAGATTGTTTACAGACAGACCACACTAATTTGCAAATACCAAACACTCCAAATGACGACTTTTCAAATTGCCTTCACCCCTTAAATAAAAGCAGTCTGGTTAGCCTTAACAAATGTGTTCCACAAATATATATTTTGTCTGGCCTATTAATTGAAAATTAATTTGAGTACTCCCTAGGTTTTTATTACTTTTACTGAATAACATCTCATTAATAATGACAAATTTGTCATACTTCAATAAAGTTTGGTTTAATTTGATTAATTTCATGTATTTCTGTCTATACTGTGTTATACTGCACATGTTATTGAGGCTGAACAGAAAAATACATCTAAATCAAAATGTACAGAAATATCTAAAATATACTTATAGCACACAATGTGTCTCTCATTCACTGCACATTGAAAGGAAGGCATCATAGAAATGACTGAGGTGTCCCTGTGTTTTTGTCTTCTCATGACTTTGGTCAACACAGGTCAACACAGGTCAACACAGGTTAACACAGGTTAACACAGGTTAACACAGGTTAACACAGGTTTAAGATAAAGTATCTATACTGAACAAAAAAAGTTAAGGATCGTGAAAATTTTTGGAGATATTTTTATGAAATCAGTCTTCGCAACAAAAAATTAACCAAAACAATTTTCATGATCCCTAAGTTTTTTTGTGCAGTATAGTTTCAACCTAATTGGAAACAGTACCAATTCGCACATATTTTTTAATTGAAAACAAAATCAGTGCAACCATGAAGCCAGGGACACTTCCATTCTACCCTGCCTAAAGCCTTTAGGGAAACATTCTATGAGTTGCAATACAGTATAATGTACATCCAGTTGTGATCAGAATGAAATACAAACATCCTCATTCAGTCGATCTGGTTAAAACTCAGTGTAACAAATAAAAGGGGTAAAAAGGTGACTGAGATACTCTTTACTGTGACCTTACATTCAGATGTCGTGGGGGAGTGAGGTAGAGAAAATAGGGCAGTTATTACGGAGAGGAACTGGTTATTTGCTGGGTACAAAACAGGATTAAACTTCGACGCCAAAAACCCACCTGTGTTTCTGATAAAATGGTCCCACAGAGGTAGGTAGTTGTTTCTTATTCTCTACTTTCGTTAACAATGTTTAACATAGATGGCTTGTTTAGAACTGTTTAGTTGCAATGTATCACAAATCTGTGTTTTAAAATAGCTACAGCAACAGTAACATGTGGAAATATATTTTTTTTCAAAATTTTAACTATGAATTTCTTTAATAGTGAGTGAGTGAGTATAGCAATATTTTAGCAATATCGCGGCAGGCATTTCTTTAATAATACATTTGAGTCGCAAGTGAGTTATGGGTCAGTCAGGTTACCCGAAACACAAGTATTCTTGTTACGGCCTAACGAGTCCAAGCATGTGAATCAACAGAAAGTCAGGGCTGTGTTATCAGGAATTGTATCTTAATTTTCATCCCCATCACTATCTGTGCCAATTCTTTTGAGATTACTAACCCGAAATTGTTTCTCAGCATAATTTTCAGTAGAATTTGGAGTTATCATATGGATTATTAGCTGAGCTAGACTGAACAGAATTTTACAAGACACAGGCTTTGGACTAGTGACTAACATCGTAGACTGCCATCCGGTAATGTCCGCGATTTAACGAAAATTTGTCACACATCACTATTAAAAAACAAGTTAATATCTTAATCTGAAACCTGCTTTTAATGACAGACTGCAAATTACTATTTCTCAAGGGGAAAAAAAGGAAAAACAAGATGAACCACCCATCCTGACTCCCCTTTTTTGGATGGGATGAAAGAGGACACATCTATTCTGTGGCCTTATCAACAGTTTCAGATATTAAGGTTTATATTATTCCACTGTTGCAAATATTTTACGGGAGCTTTAGTGCTAATATCATGTAGAGGAATGTTTCGTGTACATGAATGGGACGAGTTCTAGTTTCCGAATGTCCCCCATCTTGACAACTGAATATAAAGTCACAATTGAGAGCTTTCTGGGACAGAGACCTCTGATCATTGTTGGTGCCAGACGAGTCTTTGTTCCTGCTTGTTACCATGGTGACATGAGCACAATAAATAGTGTGACAAACATGACATAACTCGTGAAGGAAAGGTGAAGGTCGGCCACTATCCGGTGCCAACTGTCACTCCAATAATCAGTGCGATAACGGCCAACAGAACAACGACACAAATTATGATTAAAATCTTTTTCTGAAAAACAGAAGAATACAAGACATTAAACATTGAAAATAAAGAAATGACAAAAATATCATGCTGAGAGGTATCATGGCAACAGGAAGGGGTAAATGAAAAGTTACATACAACTGCATCTCAAAAACAGGAACAGAAGTCGAGGAATGCAATACAATGGCGCAGAATCACAAAAAGAACTTTAAACATGCTAAGAAACTTAAGATCTTTTCACACATCCTACATTTACAATACTCACTGCCAGTGCTGACAGTAAGGGTGGTACAAACATAGGCTTTGTGTGGCTCTATACTGTTCTGTATAAATTCTAGCACTTATATATTTTCTTGTATTTCTCTGATCTATGAAAATTGTTTGTTTGTTGTTTTAACGCCACACTCAGCAATATTCCAGTTATAAGACGGCGGTCTGTAAATAATCGAGTCTGGACCAGACAATCCAGTGATTGACATCATGATCATCGATCCACGCAATTGGGATATGATGACATGCATCAACCAAGTCATTGAGCCTGACCACCTGATCCCGTTAGTCGCCTCTTACGACAAGCACAGTTGCCTTCTACGGCAAGCATGGGTTGCTGAAGACCTATTCTACCCCGGAATCTTCCCGGGTCCTGATCTATGTTGTCGCTACCTCCAGGATGTATACTTCCGATAAAAAACAAGGGAACTAATGTTACGAGCACAGCTAATGTTGAGGTGTACATTTACCATACCGTGGCATTGCATCTGAATTAACATCCATCACAATGAAATCTCACATTGCATGAACAGCACTTGATAGACATCCATACAGAATCCAAAGTGTATGCGTCTATAGGGAATTCATAATCACATGCAATTAAGCTACCATATTTATATAGTGCGCACCCATGTATAATGCGCACCCACCTCTAGGGGATTCAGTTTTTTCAAGAAAAAAATATTCAAATATCAAGCACAGAAAAAAATTAAATCGTAGATCTACCCCTTCATCGAATTCCGGTAAACGAACGGGTGATGAGAAACTTGGTGAGTACAAATTCGAAATTTGAGATAAAAAATCACTAGACATGTTGATTTACGGTGTAAACTGTATTTTTTGTTTTGCTAGGCATTGTTTACATCCAGGGATTAAGATTACCTGGTGTATTTTCTCGTAAACTTAGCCAGAAACAGCAATCAGCTGTACACATGTTTTCTTGGAATCTACCGGTAAGCACATGATTAAAAATGCCTCCAATTTGTATCTCAATGGACAGACCAAATGGTGAATTATGCATATGATGGAGGTGGTCATCAATATTCCAAGTTGTCTGAATGTTTGGCAAATCAAAACATGTAATTTCTTGACTGTGGGACAAGTACCGTCAAACGTGTGGGATTGCAATGAGGCGTGGCTGGCATACAAAAAAAATCGTCTCATACATTAATTGCACTACGCAATAGATTTAAATGTGCAACACCAGGGACGGGCTGTGTGCCAATGGTGTTACATCATGTTTACAGACAAATGAAGGTTTCCAGTTCAAGGATTGAAAATGTTGTAGGTGACATAGCCAGGGCAACAATTCTTGACCATGATTGGCATGGGGGCGTTGGAGTAATGGTGTGGGGTGGTATCACATGACAGACCAACTGATTTGGTTATTGTGAATGAACATTTGACAGGCCAGCGATATGTTGACAAAATTTTAAATCCTGTAGTGGTTCCTAGGGGTAAAGGGATACACTCGTGAATCTTGAGATTTCATGCGATGATACAATACACTATATGTATTTTTCTGTATCAATACAAGATGATACACTTGCTAAAATAAATTTCGTAGTACTCATTAATGACCCCCTCCAGCATCTTTGTCAGTCAAAAATCACAAAATGTTTTGTAATGAGTGTTTCAAGTTCATTACTAAAATAGCAGCTACAAAACAGATTCAGCCAGCTTTTTCCTTTTGAACCTGCACTGAAATATTAATAGTCAAGAAGTTTCTGCCCATATTACATAAACATGCGTATCGCGATACATATCGTATCATGACCTACATATTGTATCATGAGCTTGCTGTATGATTTCACCCCTAGTTGTTCCATTTGCTAGAATTATCAGTGGAAATTTAAGATGACAATGCCAGACCTCATCATGCCCATGCCCCGCGAAGTCCCCTGACATGTTCCCAATAGAGCATCTGTGGGATGTTCTCAGGCAGAGGTTGTATGCCAGAGACCAAGCACCTGCCAACGTGGCCAGCTTTGGGTAGTCCTTCAGGCAGAATGACAGGCAACAACAAGAGCAACCACACGCAAGTTAATCAACAACACGCATCAAGGCTTCGCGTATGTATCACCCAACATGGTGGACACACCAGATATTGAGCTACATGCCCGAAATGAATTTTACAGGCATTTGTCGTCATTAGACTTTCACTATCATTTCATCAGTTCCCTTATTTTTTATCGGTAGTACATAAGATATATCTAACTCAACCAGTTAACTCACCCCTCTTTATTTATTGAACCAAAAGAGTAACTTGTCTTTACCTCCAGGATATAACAGATATAGCTCCCTGGACCAGTCAACTCACCAATCTTCGATCCATGAACCTATCAGTGTTGTCCCTACCTCCAGGATATAACAGATATAGCTCCCTGGACCAGTCAACTCACCCACCTTCGTTCCATGAACCTATCACTGTTGTCCCTACCTCCAGGGTATACATGATGTATCTGCTGAAGCTCACCTGTGTCTAACTTTACTCTGAATCAGTTGCCCGTAGGACATGACGTATCTGCCGGTGAACTTACCCGTCTTGCTTTACTCTGATACTTGACAGCTTTCTTCGTGTCCATCTTGGCGGTCTCTATGTAGTCTACTGCCTGCTCCACGTTGTACTCGATCCGATCTATCATCTCTCCCTGAAACACCAACACTTTGTGTAAACAGTCTCTCATCTAGCAGGTGGCATCGCTTGTTTGTTTGTTGCTTAATACCCACTTAGCAGTAGCCCAGCTGTAAATCATCGGGACCAGGCAACCCAGTGAGTGATATTGAGAGCATGATTGAGGTATGAAGAAACGCAATCGACCAAGTCACTGAGCCTGATTTATTCGGTTGCCTCCTGCAACCAGTATAGGCTGCTGGCCTATTCTAACCCAGAATCCCAACAGGGCAGACCAGCATAGGCTGCTGGCCTATTCTAACCCGGAATCCCCACAGGGCAGACCAGCATAGGCTGCTGGCCTATTCTAACCCGGAATCCCAACAGGGCAGACCAGTATAGGCTGCTGGCCTATTCTAACCCTGAATCCCAACAGGGCAGACCAGCATAGGCTGCTGGCCTATTGTAACCCGGAATCCCCACAGGGCAGACCAGCATAGGCTGCTGGCCTATTCTAACCCTGAATCCCAACAGGGCAGACCAGTATAGGCTGCTGGCCTATTCTAACCCTGAATCCCAACAGGGCAGACCAGTATAGGCTGCTGGCCTATTCTAACCCTGAATCCCAACAGGGCAGACCAGTATAGGCTGCTGGCCTATTCTAACCCTGAATCCCAACAGGGCAGACCAGTATAGGCTGCTGGCCTATTCTAACCCGGAATCCCCGCAGGGCAGACCAGTACAGGCTGCTGGCCTATTCTAACCCGGAATCCGAACAGGGCAGACCAGCATAGGCTGCTGGCCTATTCTAACCCGGAATCCCAACAGGGCAGACCAGCATAGGCTGCTGGCATATTCTAACCCGGAATCCCAACAGGGCAGACCAGCATAGGCTGCTGGCCTATTCTAACCCGGAATCCCCGCAGGGCAGACCAGTACAGGCTGCTGGCCTATTCTAACCCGGAATCCGAACAGGGCAGACCAGCATAGGCTGCTGGCCTATTCTAACCCGGAATCCCAACAGGGCAGACCAGCATAGGCTGCTGGCCTATTGTAACCCGGAATCCCGACAGGGCAGACCAGCATAGGCTGCTGGCCTATTGTAACCCGGAATCCCGACAGGGCAGACCAGCATAGGCTGCTGGCCTATTGTAACCCGGAATCCCCACAGGGCAGACCAGCATAGGCTGCTGGCCTATTCTAACCCGGAATCCCCACAGGGCAGACCAGCATAGGCTGCTGGCCTATTCTAACCCAGAATCCCGACAGGGCAGACCAGCATAGGCTGCTGGCCTATTGTAACCCGGAATCCCGACAGGGCAGACCAGCATAGGCTGCTGGCCTATTCTAACCCGGAATCCCCACAGGGCAGACCAGCATAGGTTGCTGGCCTATTCTAACCCGGAATCCCAACTGGGCAGACCAGCATAGGTTGCTGGCCTATTCTAACCCGGAATCCCAACTGGGCAGACCAGCATAGGTTGCTGGCCTATTCTAACCCGGAATCCCAACTGGGCAGACCAGCATAGGTTGCTGGCCTATTCTAACCCGGAATCCCAACTGGGCAGACCAGCATAGGTTGCTGGCCTATTCTAACCCGGAATCCCACCATAGCTGTTATTCTACCACCAAAATACCTGTGGTCTACCAACATACCTGTAATTCTACCAACATATCTGTAATTCTACCAACATACCCGTAATTCTACCAACATACCCGTAATTCTACCAACATACCTGTAATTCTACCAACATACCCGTAATTCTACCAACATACCTGTAATTCTACCAACATACCCGTAATTCTACCAACATACCTGTAATTCTACCAACATACCCGTAATTCTACCAACATACCCGTAATTCTACCAACATACCCGTAATTCTACCAACATACCTGTAATTCTACCAACATACCCGTAATTCTACCAACATACCTGTAATTCTACCAAAATTCTTGTCATTCTACCAATGTACCTTGTTCTACCAACCTACCTGTTGTTCTACCAACATACCTGTTGTTCTACCAACATGGCCATATCCATAAACATATCGTGCAGCTCTCGTATACTGTTCTCCAGCTTGATGATGTCATTATGTCGGGCCTCTATGTCCGCTAATGTTTGTTTTGCTTGCTGTGTCTCCATAATAATCTGTAACACAGAGATGATCATATTATTTTACAAATATCTACAGGCTGCCGGGAGAGAGATGTGAATATGACTGGGATTGGTACCCCTTGCGTGAGTGTTTGTTTGTTGTTTAACGCCGTACTCAGCAATATTCCAGCTATATGATGGCGGTTTGTAAATATTTGAGTCTGGACCAGACAATCCAGCTTTTAACAATATTCCGGTTATATGACAGTGTGTTAACTTATTGGGGGAGGAAAGCCTGAAGCGATGCAGGTCTTAGACGTTAACCACTTTGGTGAAACCCGGGTATTTTGCTGACAAACCTAGAAACATGATCAGGATTCAAACCCACAATCATAGGTTTCTGGCATAGCCAAGAAATCCAACTCTGCACAGCGAATTACTGCATCTTAGATGATTGGGCCACCCATGCCACCTACCCTTTGCGTAAATGACAGGGATGGGTACATACCCCTTGTGTGAATACGACCAGGATGGGTACATATCCCTTGTGTGAATATGGCCGGGACGGGTACATACCCCTTGTGTGAATACGACCAGGATGGGTACAAATCCCTTGTGTGAATATGGCCGGGACGGGTACATACCCCTTGTGTGAATACGACCAGGAAGGGTACATACCCCTTGTGTGAATATGTCCAGGATGGGTACATACCCCTTGTGTGAATACGACCAGGAAGGGTACATACCCCTTGTGTGAATATGACCAGGAAGGGTACATACCCCTTGTGTGAATATGACCAGGATGGGTACATACCCCTTGTGTGAATACGACCAGGATGGGTACATACCCCTTGTGTGAATACGACCAGGACGGGTACATACCCCTTGTGTGAACATGACCAGGACGGGTACATACCCCTTGTGTGAATATGACCAGGACGGGTACATACCCTTCGTGTGAATATGACCAGGACGGGTACATACCCCTTGTGTGAATACGACCAGGACGGGTACATACCCCTTGTGTGAACACGACCAGGACGGGTACATACCCCTTGTGTGAATATGACCAGGACGGGTACATACCCCTTGTGTGAATATGGCCAGGACGGGTACATACCCCTTGTGTGAACACGACCAGGACGGGTACATACCCCTTGTGTGAATATGACCAGGACGGGTACATACCCCTTGTGTGAATACGACCAGGACGGGTACATACCCCTTGTGTGAATACGACCAGGACGGGTACATATCCCTTGTGTGAATACGACCAGGACGGGTACATACCCCTTGTGTGAATACGACCAGGACGGGTACATACCCCTTGTGTGAATACAACCAGGACGGGTACATACCCCTTGTGGGAATACGACCAGGATGGGTACATACCCCTTGCGTGAATATGGCCGGGTTACCGGACTCCAGCATATCCTCAAGTTCCTCATTGGTTGTTGTTCTACCAGCTGGAAGCAGAAACAGAAGGTTACACCATTGTGAATATGAACCGTCCAATATGATGAATGTTAGTCTAATTATCAACACGTGACTGTCCTCGGAGGCAGGAGAGTTCAAACACTCAGACAATCAACAAGTAGTAGACTGATATTGAAGAGATTAATACATTTTTCCCGAAAAGTATAAAACATTTATATCCATTAGTATATTTTTCCCGAAAAGTCTAATACATCTAATGAATCTGCAAACAATGTTGTAATATCCTTTTAACATTAACCAAGTGTACTAATCCGTCTCCATTACGGAGAAAGACTATCGTGTATTCAGTATAAGAAATTGGCACTACTCCTGTTGGCACTATTCCTCCAATAGTTAAGGAATCATAAGGACTAGTAGAAATTTGCCCTTTTCATGGGTTTTGTTATATGTCATCATTATAAGAACTGGTCTGCTTTAACTGTTAGTTTCTATCGTTGGTATTTGGTGCTGATATTCCCCTGCCTCTGACTGACAACATTCCAATATGATTTGTTATACAATAAATATATCAATGTGTTATCCTGTATATCAATGTTATACAATATATCAATGTCTAATACTACATATCAGTATGTTATGGATATCACTGCGTTATAAATGTTTTATTTCATATGAATATATTACATATTACACTATATTCCACATATTATGTTACTTACACTACCTTTTACCACAAAGTGATCCTAGCTCTACGACTACCATAGCTACACTGGAGTATGGGAGTCACGACAGTCGTAGTGCTGGGACCGCTTTGTGGAAGAAGGACGAGGTCAATATCTGTCAAACAGGTCACAAACAGAAAATCATAAACATTTTGACTGATAAATGAACTACTGACAGCTTGACATATTAAATAAATTCATGTTACATTACTGTTTATCATATTTCGTAAAAAATATCTACAATACAACGTTTAAATAAACAAAGTTGCAAGAACTGCTGTAAAAGATTATAATTACCACGAAAATATAAGTAAGAGAGTATGTAATTCATGAGCAAAGAAAAACTCAAACGAAAATAACATTTTTCAGTATGTTGTTTATGTGGTAGAGAGTTTTAATGCACAAAGCAAACACTAGCCATATTGATGAAGAATAGACCTATAATCTGTGGAGGATGAGGTTGAGATGATAAGAGTATTTGCACTTCTAAAAGTTTGTGTTGAAAGATGAGAATAGTGCATGATATGCTATATAAACTGCAGGCTATAGATACTCAGAGCACTGATCGCGAATGTCCAGGTTATAAGTGGAATCTACAACAGAGCTGTAGGGAATATATATACACAGCATGCAGAAATTAGTCACCTCATCGGTGCCATCAGTGTTTAACTAGCGCTAGCTTATGCGCAAACGCAATGAGCATGTTGTCAAATTTAAGCATTTGGAACAAACATCTATCAAATGTGATATATTAAGCAGATATTGGCGGGGATCTAACTGCTAGACCATTTCTACCACTATCATGTTCATAATCTTAAAATTCCATGCAGCTCTTTCTAGGCTAATCTATGCTCTTCTCTATCAATTTGTTGGAGCTTGAAAATTCATGACTGGAATATCTTGTTTCTAGTTTCCTTGTCATTCATGTACATATTATCTATGAGAACCTGACAACTATGTGAATACTTTCTACTGCTTGACCTAATGTTTTGTTTTAAGTGACAAGCATGCTTTTAAAAATTTCCAAATATAGACATCTATAAGATGCATATACTCTATATGGCGTAGAATGGTCTACTTAAATATTTCAATTTATTAATTTCTCGGTAACTGCCCATGCCAAGTTAACATGCTGTCTGTAGTCTAACTCTAACAAGGGGAGGTAACTCAGCTTACTGATTTCCAACTGTCTTTGGATGCGGCCTTTACACCTCTCCCGATAGTCGATCTGGCATGCGTTGTAATCGTTCATAACTTCAACAAATTTGCGTGATAACGTGGCATGCTGAGTATCAGAAAAAAAGAAAAGGAATCATGAATGACTGCCACACTCTGCAATTCAAAATAATAACAGCTTCTAGCTAAGAATGATGTAGATCAGTTCTCTCCCTTGGTCCAGCTGGACTCTTTTTGACACCAGGTGGACATAAGAATCCAACGTGCCAAAGAGTTGCAAAACAGGTACTGGAAACCAAGGAGACAACTGATTTGCACAAAACAAAATATTCTGAATGATAATAATAAAAGGTATCTATTTCTACAGAAAACCCATGATGTTCTTACTGATCTCCATCTGTCGCTGTATCCTATATTTGCAGCGATCTCGGTAGTCAAGCTGGGCCTTGTTGTAATCACCCATAGCGTCAATAAACTGACGCGAGATAGTCGCATACTACAATAGAACCATGGTGACTGGATTATTCCCACTATACCTACAGTTACCCATTTAAAAGAAAAATAAGGGCTTGGGTTCAGGGATTCATCTAGACCTGCTCAGGCCTCATATTTTTTTTAGTTGGTTTACGAGACCGACCAACCACAAAACCCTGAAATAAATTTAAAATAAACTGACTTTTCACAAAAAAAACATTTTTGAAACTCAATAAGGTGAAATGAAAAAAAAGACATACGGTACAAAAATTTATCACCTTTCTTGGATTTTTTCGACTTTCAACATTGAATTATAGGTCAAATTATTTTGAAAAACCAACTAAAGAAAAATAAGAGGCCTCAGAGGTCGATATTCACCCCCAAGTGGGCAGTCAATGTCAGTACAACACTCTAAATTGGAAGTACCAATTCATTGTTGTTATACTTATAACTATTGTTCTGGCTTTGTAGACTTGTATTTCACCGATACAAGACCACTGACGGGGATTAAAGAGGGTTTTCAGTTTTACACTATTACACTGAACATGTTGAATACAATATTAAAATATCTCCAGGTTTATGAATCCCAATCCCAATTTATTTTTTTTCCCAATTTGCCTGCCAAGGTTACAAAGTTTGGATTCCAAGAGTGAAAGAGTGAGTGAGTGAGCTTGGATTCAATGCCGCTTTAAATAGTATTCCAGTTATCAAGGCGTCTCAGCTTGATGTGGGAGGAAAGCCCGAAATGATGAAAGTCTCAGATATTTACAACTTCAGTGAAACCCATGAGCATGGATATGGTGCTGACAAACCTAGAAACATAATTGGGGCGACCCGGGATTCGAAGCCACTATCATAGGTTCTAGCATGCCCAGGGGACGCTACTCTGCACAGCGAATTGGGGTCCCTTAGACTACTGGGCAACCTGTGCCCCTTTGATTCCTAAATAAATACATTGAAGAAAATATACACTAAAATCTAAATAAAAATATTCTTAAACTAAATTGACATCTATGTCATTCAACACATTCAAATTATTCCATCCCACAACACAGGCTTGGTATCTTTGTTGTTTAATGCCATTCTCAGCAATATTTCAGCCAAATGTCAGCGGCTTGTAAACAGTTGAGCCTAGACCAGACAATCCAGTAACTGATAGTATAAGCAACAATCCATGCTGATGGGTTGCAGTGACATGCTAACGACCAAGTCAACGAGTCTGTCTCAAACACTTTCTGTCAACCAGTCTCTCATCTTGCAGGTAGCATCATTTGTCTGTTGCTAATACCGACTCAGCAATATTCCAGCTATATCATGCCGGCCTGTAAATCGTGTTTGGGCCAGACATTCCAGTGGTTGATATTGTGAGCATGATAGACACCATAGAGTAACGAAGACACGCAATGGACTAAGTCATCGAGCATGACCACCTGAGCATTTGGTCAGCTCTTACAACCTGCCTGTGTTGTTGGGGATGTATTCTGACCCGGAATCCCCTGTGTGCCAACAACAGGGGCAACAGCAGGCAGGGTATTATCTTACAGATAAAGTGTTCTCATCAGCTTGATGATCACACAAAGTCATGTGACTCCAGGATGAAGACTGAGGTGAGGTGAAGTGGGGTTTGACATCTTGTCCAAGGTTATTGCACTTATTTAGTGACGTGCATGCACATGTGTTTGTGTATGTGGCTGCTTGTACTAGTCCAGACTGATGCCGATTTATAGTGTGATACCATGCCGCAGTTTAACATAAATACCCTACTCAGAGACAGTATAATGACTCCGAGCCGACCAGTCCTTGTTTTAGTCCCTTAATGCCAATCGCCAGGCAGGGTAACAACAAGTACCTTCTTTAATGTCTTTTGGTATGACACAGCCGGGTATCAAACCCCAAATCTTCCGCTCTCTAGGCAGACACTCTACCACTAGACCACGGAGGCAGTCACGATGAAGAATAAGGTGAGGTGAATCAGGGTTTGACATCATATTCCAAGGTTTTTTCACTTATATATATTGTTACATGCGTGCACACAGGGGTGAGCCTGCTTGTACCAGTCCGGACTATAGCCAGTTCTATAGTGCTAGCCCACTGAGATACCATGCCACAGTTTAACATGGATACCCCATTAGACACATTATGCTGACTCCAAGCCGACCAGTCCTTGTCTTATTCCCTCAATGCGGAACGCATCAAGTACAAGAAGCTCTATCCACAACACCATGGAGGTGGTTGAGGAGGAATATTGTGAAATGAATCAGATCATTCACAAACACGTCTCTCTGTTTAATAACTGAACCTGCAGAAAGAATTTTTATGCAATGAATATGAATGAAATCAGCTAATAAAGATATTGATTTGATACTCCAGAATCCAGAAATTCTCTGAACACACATATAAACTGAACAATTCAAGAAGTAATCCTGTTTACAAAAATCAAAACACAACATCATACATCAAATATCATTGGCTTATTTTCGCTAAAACAAATATCTTGATTAAAGTTGGTCATGCACACCTCCTGTGTGGGAGTAAGGATCATTTGCCACATTATCCAAGAACAACCCAGCACCATACCAGCAACATCCCAGCACCATACCAGCAATATATCCCAATAATATCTTATCAATATCCCTGAAATAATCTAAGCTATATCCATGTTTTATCCTAGCTATATATCCCCGTTATGTCCCACCTATATTCCAGCAATATATCCCTGGTATATCCCACCTATATCTCCCATGTATATCCCATCTATATCTCAGCAATATATCCCAGTTATATCCAGCCTATATTCCAGCAATATATCACAGGGATATCCCACCTATATTCCAGCAATATATCACAGGTATAATCCCACCTTTATTCCAGCAATATTTCACAGGTATATCCCACCTATATTCCAGCAATATATCACAGGAATATCCCACCTATATTCCAGCAATATATCCCATGTATATCCCATTTATATTCCAGCAATATATCCCATGTATATCCCAACTATATTTCAGCAATATATCTCCGGTATATCCCACCTATATTCCAGCAATATATCCCAGGTATATTCTACCCATATTCAAGCAATATATCACAGCTATATAATTAAGCTATATCCCAACTATGTTCTTTGTCTATTCCAACCATATCCTAGAAATATTCCCTGTTGTGTCCTATAATCAACATCACCCTGTTGTGCCCTAGAATCAACATCACCCTGTTGTGCCCTAGAATCAACATCACCCCGTTCTGTCCTATAATCAACATCACCCTGTTCTGTCCTATAATCAACATCACCCTGTTGTGCCCTATAATCAACATCACCCTGTTGTGCCCCATATTCAACAGCCTCTACTAATCCAGCTGTCAAGCCACAATAATCAATGCTAAGTAGATGCTCTCCCCCTTAAAACTGCTACATTTTCATTCATTAAACTGACATAAAAAAAATAATCATTTTATTTTTGCCTTATTCTCAGGGAAGATTTTTGTTCTTCCATTCCAGCATGGCCAATCAATAGTTGCTTCAGAAAAGTTAATGAGGCACATTTCGTGCAAAGAACGCACAAGTCACTGATTCTATTCTCAAGCTTGAACTTTGTTTTCTCGCTGGGCTGAGGATTTGTGAATGCCTCCAACTCAGCATACATCGAGATCCCCACTGGGGACTGGCGATAGCTTAAATACAATATATACTGAACAAACAAACACATTACTCCACAACAAAACCACAGTGGCATCCTGATGAAAAAACTCCTGGGGACTTTCTAATGCAGTGCTGTTCAGCCGATCCTATTGAGAGGTTCTTGGACTTTCTGATGGAATAAAATGGTTTTGATAAGCTGCAAAAATAATTTGACTTTCTTTTGATAAATAATTGGCAATAAATGATCTTTGGTAAAATAGTGACAAAACAAAGGGAAACAGATGGTCCCCTACTATTTATTCTCTATTTAAAAGGAGAACAACACTACTCCCAAACATTCAGGAAAATGATATACAATCACAGACGCTTAGATTAACATTCAGTCCCAGAAATAAAGTTATTTATTTTAAAATAAATGTCACAAAAAAAAACAGAATCCAATGGAGTCACAATGCTAAATTTCAGAGTTAAGGTAATCTAGATTGCCAAATTATTCCAGTCTTGAGTTGGATTCATTTATTAATTCATTCTCTTGAGACAGGGAGACAGATAACGGTCGTTCTACGCCTTCAGTTGAGTGAAGGTTCATTCAGCTAACCACCTGATACACAAACGGAATGGAAAAAAAAAGAAGAGAAATAATGTTTCCAAATACGCGATCAATACTCCAAAACATTGTGAAACTCTGAACAACAAAGGTTTTTTTAAAAGAAAAAAGCCATCATACTTCTCTGTGTCCTCAACCAGCCCCCAAATCATTTAATCCAAAATATCTCATAACATTCTACAGCTATTACAAAAAAACAGGAGGCAATTGGGAACACCAAGGGGAGACAACTCATGTGAACTGCTAATTGCCAGGCGTTCCTGCAGCCTTTGCCTGTACATAGAAGAACATGGTATTGATTTTCAGCCGAGTCACACATTCAGCTAACAGATTTAGTTACTTGGGTTATTTCTAGTTTGATCAAGTAACCAAACTTCAAAGGGTTTACAAGTGTTGGGAATGAATAGAGGAGGTAATTCCAAGAATGTCCACAATGACAGAGGATGTATTTGATCGTATTCTAGGGCAGCTGGAATCTGTTTATAACATGAAGTCATTATGAATTCAGTCACTTGTGAACATCCGTCCTCCAACTCAGTGTTAAACGTGAAATCAGAATGATGCATTATGGTCGCTACAGTACCTGTGTTTTCCTAATTCTGAGGTCAGCTGACGATTTGTTGGAATGCTCCTCTTGTTCAATATTTTGTTCGATAACTGGAAGAAAAAGAAAAAACAGTTGAATATATATATAAAATACAACCATGTATGTTTGTTTGTTTGTTGTTAGACACCACACAAAACTTCAGCAGTGACGGCGTCCTGTTAATAATCAAGTGTGGACCGGACAATCCTGAGCCTGACCACCCAATTCACTGGGTCCCTCCCTCCAACAAGCACAGGTTACTGGGGAATACATACGACAACACTGTACATTCAAAGGAATCAAACCCAAGTCTTCACTGTGCGAGCAAACACAGTGACCTGCTGGACTTAGTCACTGCACTTCCACTGCATGAGGACTTTCCTGTACTAATGCTCTTCTACTGCAGGACTTTCCTGTACTAATGCTCTCATACTGCAGGACTTTCCTGTACTAATGCTCTCATACTGCAGGACTTTGCTCTCATACTGCAGGACTTTCCTGTACTAATGCTCTCATACTGCAGGACTTTGCTCTCATACTGCAGGACTTTCCTGTACTAATGCTCTCATACTGCAGGACTTTGCTCTCATACTGCAGGACTTTCCTGTGTTAATGCTCTCATACTGCAGGACTTTCCTGTGTTAATGCTCTCATACTGCAGGACTTTCCTGTGTTAATGCTCTCATACTGCAGGACTTTGCTCTCATACTGCAGGACTTTGCTCTCATACTGCAGGACTTTCCTGTACTAATGCTCTCATACAGCAGGACTTTCACATACTAAGGCTCTCATACTGCAGGACTCTCCTGTACTAATGCTCTCATACTGCAAGACTTTCCTGTACTAATGCTCTCATACTGCAGGACTCTCCTGTACTAATGCTCTCTTACTGCAGGACTTTCCTGTACTAATGCTCTAATACTGCAGGACTCTCCTGTACTAATGCTCTAATACTGCAGGACTCTCCCGTACTAATGCTCTCTTACTGCAGGACTTTCCCGTACTAATGCTCTCTTACTGCAGGACTCTCCTGTACTAATGCTCTCATAATGCAGGACTCTCCTGTACTAATGCTCTCATACTGCAGGACTTTCCCGTACTAATGCTCTCATACTGCAGGACTCTCCTGTACTAATGCTCTCATACTGCAAGACTCTCCCGTACTAATGCTCTTACTGCAGGACTCTCCCGTACTAATGCTCTCTTACTGCAGGACTCTCCTGTACTAATGCTCTCATACTGCAGGACTTTCCCGTACTAATGTTCTCATACTGCAGGACTCTCCTGTACAAATGCTCTCATACTGCAAGACTCTCCCGTACTAATGCTCTCATACTGCAGGACTCTCCTGTACTAATGCTCTCATACTGCAAGACTCTCCCGTACTAATGCTCTCTTACTGCAGGACTTTCCTGTACTAATGCTCTCATACTGCAGGACTCTCCTGTACTAATGCTCTCTTACTGCAGGACTTTCCTGTACTAATGCTCTAATACTGCAGGACTTTCCTGTACTAATGCTCTCTTACTGCAGGACTCTCCTGTACTAATGCTCTCTTACTGCAGGACTTTCCTGTACTAATGCTCTAATACTGCAGGACTTTCCTGTACTAATGCTCTCATTCTGCAGGACTCTCATCATCATCATCATCACAGAAGCAAAATGCAAGTTTTGCTATTTGCTGTTTAGCGGTTATTTTACCACACAACCAGACTCAATATTAATCTCTGCTAATGAAATATGTCTCGACTAACAGGTAATAAATTGAAATTGTAAATAATTGCAATCTTTTATCACAATAATTAAATTTACATGGATCCAATTTATCTTCGGTTTGGTACATCTTAAGCGAGAAAAGGTAGGTTTTAAATGCAAAGTTTATACAACAGTATTTTCCCCTAAATTTGTGCCCCAGAATGCAGGATGTGTATTATGCTCAAGTGTGTATTATACAGATGAAACTCAGAGGGTGAGATGTGATCCCTATTCAGTTCCCTTCTCCCCTCACATGATGATAATGATGATGATGATGATGATGATGATGTCTGCTTGCTGACAATTCTTCAATTGGTCTCATGACCAAGGAAAGAATTTAATGTGGTTTTCCAGAATGTTTGTTTGCTTATAGTTTAACACTGAAAGGGCAATATTCTAGCTATATAATGACAGCCTGTAAACAATCAAGTCCAGATCAGACAATTCAGTGATTGATATTGTGAGTAACGATCCACGTAGTCAAGGTATGAGGACATACTATGAACCAAGTCAATGAGCCTTCAAAACCCAATCCATTAACCCGCTTCTTACAGCCAGCATAGGTTGCTGGAGTCTAACCTGGAATCCCATGGGATCTTCACCAAAGGACTGTTTATGTCTACAACATTGTTACAGTTTGTTACACAACATGCCACTGGTATTGCTGCAGCCATTGTTCAACAACAACAACAACCTATGACTTATGCAAGATTGTGTGGAATAACATGTGATACACAACACACATCAGCGACAGTCTAGAGGATTATCTATCACTGGGGAATTGGGAGGAAACATTAGCCCTGATTGATCTCTTCATGGAGTCACAGATATGATTGGTTATGTTATGGCTGCTGTATTGTGTCATTGTTGTCCAGAACTCGCGATACAGGGTCACATTGGCTGTCTGGTCACATACGCTGGTCACATTGGCTGGCTGGTCACAGTGGCTGGCTGGTCACATACACTGGTCACAGTGGCTGGCTGGTCACATACACTGGTCACATTGGCTGTCTGGTCACATACGCCGGTCACATTGGCTGGCTGGTCACATTGGCTGCCTGGTCACATACACTGGTCACATTGGCTGCCTGGTCACATACACTGGTAGCATTGGCTGGCTGGTCACATACGCCGGTCACATTGGCTGGCTGGTCACATATGCCGGTCACATTGGCTGCCTGGTCACATACGCCGGTCACATTGGCTGGCTGGTCACATTGGCTGCCTGGTCACATACACTGGTCACATTGGCTGCCTGGTCACATACACTGGTCACATTGGCTGCCTGGTCACATACACTGGTAGCATTGGCTGGCTGGTCACATACGCTGGTCACATTGGCTGGCTGGTCACATACGCTGGTCACATTGGCTGGCTGGTCACATACGCCGGTCACATTGGCTGGCTGGTCACATACACTGGTCACATTGGCTGGCTGGTCACATACACTGGTCACATTGGCTGCCTGGTCACATACGCCGGTCACATTGGCTGGCTGGTCACATTGGCTGCCTGGTCACATACACTGGTCACATTGGCTGCCTGGTCACATACACTGGTCACATTGGCTGCCTGGTCACATACACTGGTAGCATTGGCTGGCTGGTCACATACGCTGGTCACATTGGCTGGCTGGTCACATACACTGGTCACATTGGCTGCCTGGTCACATACACTGGTAGCATTGGCTGGCTGGTCACATACGCTGGTCACATTGGCTGGCTGGTCACATACACTGGTCACATTGGCTGGCTGGTCACATACACTGGTCACATTGGCTGGCTGGTCACATATGCCGGTCACATTGTTGGGTGAGTGAGTTAGTTTTAATGCCGCTTTGACAGTATTTCAGTTTTCCCACAGCGTGTCAGCTCAACGTCGGAGGAAAGCCTGAAGTGATGCAGGTCTCAGATGTTTACCACTTTGGTAAATCCAATCTGGTGATTTTGTTAAAAAGTACCCAATGATATAACTTCAAAGAATGGTCGAAGAAACTGTATCTGAAATTATTATTTTATCAGGAATAACATATTCCAATGTCATGTTATTCTAGTTGCAGCTTTTACTATATATATTTAAAATTATTAGAACCATAAGTGCATTTTGGTAAAACTGATTGCTATTGTAGGATATTTTTATGCATGGAACAATTTGACTAGTTACCATAGGGACTTCCTGTGCTACATATAATTCAATTCCGAAAACCTCATGTTGACATATAGTAGTCAAATTGCCACAAATATGACTTTTAACGAGTCAAAGTATGGCATTTATGATATATGTACCCATTCTCTATCAACTAAAGTTTAATAGGGGTAATCTGACCGTGGTTGCTGTAAATAACAGTGAGTTGTGCGATCTACCTATCACTTCAAACACGATTTCGCCGAAAATTAATGTAAACAATATTGAATGAAGTTTTGAATAAAATTTATAAAATATATTACAAACATAAGTCTAGATATACAATGAACACATTTTTATAACCAGATAAATAACAGATATAGGATTAAATTGTGTACTTCAGTTCGGATTTGTGGACTGGTATTTTTAGTGTTACGTGCTCGTGCAGATCAGGTGGTAATGTTTTTAGCAATGGTGAGTGTGAGTGAGTACGGTTTTATGCCGTTTTGGGCAATATTCCAGCAATACCACGGGGGGGGGGGGGGGGGGACGGACACCAGAAATGGGCTTCACACATTGGTACCCATGTCGGGAATTGAACCCGGGTCTTCGGCGTGACGAGCAAACGTTTTAACCACTAGGCTACCCGACCGCCCCTTTTTAGCAATGGGGTAAAAACATCGTAGTCAGTGTACAATTTGAGTTTATTTTGGGGGAGCCATGCTACAGCGCACTATAACCGAATTTGTGCTATATTGAAGGGAACAATAGCAAGGGAACACTGTATAGGATACTGTGTCTCTATATACATCAGGGACAGATTCTCAGATCATCTGCGTGTACAAAGATACAATACCCAATCTGTCCCATAATCGCCTAGGGTTACCACTCCCTGACAAGAGTTAAAATATATCCATTATTGGCATGTCAGCACGTGTACAACAAGTCAACAAAACTCTTCACAACAACATTAGTTGTATAATCGCCTCGTCAGCATCTAGTTATTCATCACAGGGGACAACGTCTCCCAAGGGCTCTGGGCAACTCATTACACAACAGTCATGTGACTGCAATAAATATGATCGGGACGGTAACAGTGAGGCTATCAACACACCAAGATTGGCAGCTGGATAATCAGCTCCATCACAAGACCGCAACATCACATACATTATGCCTCCCCTGCTGTCGACAG